TTCTACCACAGACAAGTATATAGAGCCACTTGCCCATACGATATCATACAGCTACAGGAAAGGCATTCTGCATGTATTTCACCACAAATATGCTCTTCAGGGGTCATCAAAACAGGAGATGGTGTGTGGGAGCAGCGGGCTACACACAGGTAACAACTTCACCTTCCTGAAAACCCAGTCTTGCTCTTTAGAGTTCACTTTCAGGTGCCTTCACAGGGTCTGTGCTGCCCTGTACCCTTCCTGTCATCTTTACCCAAATCTTTGAATTATAGATTCAGTGACGGCACCTGGGGAGAGGGAGGACTGAGAAAGAAGACCTCAAGAACAGTGAAAAGACAGAGTGATGGAGATGAGAGGAGATATGGCAGTGGTGAAGTGGCTAAAACACAAGCAATGCGTTCTCCAGCAATGGCTGGTGAGCTAGGGAACACAAAATCAAACCACCCCGCTCTCCAGAAGACCAATGTTGAACTTAACCCTATGGCCACACTCAGCGACAACGTTCTTTCCAGCCTCTCCCTCTGGTATAAGAGTGCTTCAGCTGGTATCAAATACCTTCTGAGGTCTCTAAACAGGGCCACGGTACAGGATCTACTTCAGTTGCCCAAGGCCTCCATACGGTCCCATCTCCTTCTCCCCTTTTATTCCTTTCACAGATTTTGTCGCTTCACAGATTTCTCCACTGGTCTTGGGCCCATGGTTTCCCTCAGCCAGACTTCTTCAAAGCTGCACTTAAAAGCAAGCACTATTGTCCAAACTTATCATTTTAACGTTAAGTCGGTAATATTCAGTGCTCCTAAAACCTCAGCTTCTGAAGGGGAAGATGATTAGATGTTAATCTCAGCTTTCATTAAGAAAAAATTTTGTTATTTCCCTCTGGGTTTTGGAGAAAAGCTAGAGAATATAAAAAAATGAAAATTCCAGGCTCTAAACCAAGTAACACAGAACGTATTATTTCAAGACGCTATTTTTAAAGACCCAAGATTTCACTCATCTCGTGACTTTTGACCAGAGACTTGGCTGAGGATTTGATTTTCCCCTCCACTGCACAGGAACAGAAGGGCGGGAAACACCTCAGAGCAAAGACCGGGACCCCCCAAAATGCCCAGTTGTCTTCCGACATGCTGTCCTGACAAACGTGCCCCACCTCTCAACACTCCTGGAAAGATCTACAGCAAAAAGCGGGCCATTTTCCCCCACTTCTGTGCCAACACACACAACCACTGCAAAATACAAGACCAACAATGGGGCAATGGGTCCGAGCCCTTCCAGTAGCCAACCTGGCCAATGACAGGATGCGACCTCATTGAGCATTTCTGCTTTTTTGTTAAAAAACAAAACCAAAACAACCCAACACTAAAAACAGATTGCTTCAGGAAATTACCACAACCCTCCTCGGCCCAGTCACCACTGCCGCGTTACGGGGCCAACAGACGTGTTGGGGTGGTGGGCCCTCACACATCATGGGTGCCCACCACGGATGCCCTCACACATCTTTGCCATCAAGCTCTTGCCCCAGGTCTCCACAGGCTCAGGACCCCCGGGGTGTCCCCCCCACCCCGGGGCAGGACGCCTATGGGCCCCCCCAAAGGCATCACCGGCTCCCGCGCCCGGAGGACGAGCCGACCCGGCCGGGGGCGACCCCGGAGGCCCCAGTGGGACGTCGGCGGCCACCCCGGGGCCTGCCCCGCCGCCGCCCCCCGGCACCTATAGGGCCCGTACCCCACCCCCAGCCCCGGGCGGCGGAAGTGTGTGTAGGGGGCAGTATAGGAATTTCCTGTGACGTCCCGGCCCGGACTCCATTAGGCTGCAGCTGGGCTGAGAGGAGACAAACCCAGCGGGCAGCGAGCGGAGCGGGCCGGGCGCCTGGGGCTGCCGGGCGGGGGCTC